GATAAAAATAATTTAATTAATGAATACTGAAAGACTTAGTAACGAATTAAAGATGTCCGTATTTGGTCTAGGACGTTTCACTCTAGTGTCTAGACCTTACTATACTTAGATAAATTTCCAAGAATCAACCTTCTGTGTGCGATAACTACGCTTATAATAACATTGGATTTCTTATGACGTAGATAGTAAATAGTTGTTGATAAAATAGGTTAGTCAGGTAAGTGCTTATCAGATGCACTTCTTATCAGTGGTTATCAGAGCAAGTCGACGGCCTTCTTTAGATTCGCGATGTTATTCTCAAAGACTTGGAAATTAAGAACTAGGTACCAATATTGTAATGGCAATTCGTTACTTCTGGTTTTCTCTTTATTTATGGTTATTACTAATGTGGTAAAATGTAGCGTATATTTAAGCTATACTAATAATATATAAAAAAAAATAGTGTTGGATAGCATGATAACTTGCAAGAACGACGGGACGCGATCGATGACGTCGATGGTAAAAGCTTAAATTCATATCGATAAAGAGGCGTTTTGCAAAAACAAATTTAGATGCCCAAAATATCTATTCTACGCGGACCAAGTCGCTGACACTGCTAGTTTTTAAATTCAACCCCAATTTCCCGATACTGTTTTTAAGTAAAAATTTGTTTCAATTAACCATAGACAATCAAAAATAAATGTAATAAGACCTATCTTACATTTTTAAAAGATTAAATATGTAAATCTTCCTTCATAAATACCTCTTTGATTTGTATGTTAAGTTTTACCCTTCAAAGAAAACTGAGAAAAACAGGAAAAATCCTCAGTAGTGATTAGGCTGTGCTTGCGCAAACGTATTTTGTATGTGATCTTAAGTGTTTTATAACTATTGGAAAAGCTCCCTCACCTATTGCGTAAATAAGCCGACCTTTATCATGAAAATGTTATGAGGTCAATGAAAAATACGAAATTATCAGCCGATCTAAATATTTCGTGCGCAGACATAATCGGTGCGAATTAGAAAGCTGTACACCGATGTATGTTAAAATGGATATGGCTTTCAACAAGAGAAACGAAAAAGTAAACGACAGTGTATGTATATACTGTAAGATACACTTTGAAAACTTTACCAAGTTCTACATGAAAATGATAAGCATATAACATATCGTCGTGTATCAGTTTCGTTAACTACAATCGAAATTTAAGAACCTACCCTTATGATATTAATTGTTTAAATGTAACCACATATAAAATCAGCGTTGTGCGTATTGTGTGTATTTATTTTAGATTAAATGATTTGAATATCTATTTCTGGGATTTGAACCCAGACTGTCCAGCGCATAATACCAGGCAATGCACTTAACTATCAATTACAGAGGCCATTTTAACATTTACTAACGAACACTCCGTGGTGCTCCAATATGAGATCTTCTTAAGCTTCCTTCCACGTCATGTACCTACCAAATGCCGATATATCAAGAGCTATCAATAACGATTTGTCAAAATCGTCGCAAACTGGTTCTAGTTAGCTCTGTGCCCATAGATCACAGATTACTCCACTACGTTTGTGCCTGATAGCTATTAACTGGCATGAAGCCATGAATTCAAGAAAAATACTTTTTGTGACTCTCTGCTGCTGTTGGGACGGGAATCTCTTACAGCTTATGAGGGTATGCATTTTATAATAATTATACAAAGTTCTATGGAACAGTTATATAAATTAATAATAAAAAACACTTGTCCTTTCAACGGTTTAAAACGGCAAATATATTTTTGTTTATATTTATTTCAACTGCGAACCGATGTTCCGGATTATTTGTAGCACTCGTGGTCCCTCCGTTTAAGCCACTTTAAGATATTACATTTAAATGTGTACTACTCGCTACAACTACATACAATATTTTTTTTTTTTAGTGTTACCATAATAGGATGTTATGATAATTTAAAGTACATTTTAAAATCATTAGAAGGAGATATAAAGCGTATAAAAAGCTCCTTAGCTTTTTAAATTGTGCTGTGGTGGTGACGGGTACTATTACTCTCCAATTTTGGTCTCGTCCAATACACGAATTTTCGAGACCCATAACTCCTTGTGACACCGAAAAAAATCGCAAACACATAAAGAAAGTTACAGTCGAACGATGCTATCGCGAAATTATTTCCAATTTCGCCGTTTTGCGTCCCCGTTCCGACATGGCTTTTCTTTTTTTTTTCTTTTAGGCCAGCGATGGCTCGGACGCACTCCCATAAATTATAGTTCGGTAGCTCTTAAAGAGGTTCGATTTTGTTTATTTTTGTTAAGTCCTTTGAAGAATTTATGTTCCCGACTTACTTAGTAGCGGTCAGCCGACCTGTCTGGCAAATATTTTGTACTTTCGGTTGGTATTTTGGTCGGTAATGTTGTAGTTGCTCGAACCGAGCTTGCAATTACGCAACTTGGTGCCTTATTCGAGTTATTTGCCACCTAATTTTGTGACGTTGTTATAATTTTGTCAGACTGTTCATACCATTAAGTTATTTAGCCAAATTTAATGAAGTGCGAAGTCTAAACTGTAATTTTAGGTCTAATCCTTAAAGACACACGTTTGTAACAATTCGTTTTGTCATCTCAAAAAAAGCTTATTCTAACTATTTACTGAAATTATAAGCTTAGTAAGTATGCCACCCTAAATAAAAAAAAACCCAAAGACCACTAACAGTGTCTATTTACATTTTTTTAACTAAGAAAATGATTTTTTAGTTGCAGTCAATTTATTTTAATAGTATCCCCCTTTTCACTCTTTATTCGTCTAACTGTTGCCTCCTAGACATAGTAATACGCACATTATCAATAAAACGAGTGTAGTCCAAAAGTATAGTTCCGAAAATCGTCGAGGTCACAGAAAAAAGAATATAAAAAATATCTGTTCGCGGTCGCCTCGAGTTATGTCCCTGCTGAATACCGTTAGGATACCTTCGTGTCTTAAAATGAGATAAAAAAACTGAAAACTATTCCAATTGCCAGCACCAGGAATCCGTTTTGTCTGCGATACTGATTTAGGTCTGTTTTTAATAGGAATATGACACTTGTCTATTGATTTTTAAGTGTTTCTTGAAAAAGGATGCACTATCTTATTGTATGACTTTACGTCAAGGAGCGCTTCTAGCAAAGTTTTGTAACAATAACTGAAAAATGCTCATTCGTATGTCAATTGTTAAAGGTTAAGTTTGAACTAGGAAGATAACTGTTATATTCTCTTTCAAATAACATTTAAGTTATTGTTGTACCCTGCGTTAAACTTCCGTAATTAGTTTCTTAATGCTTTAAAAGCACACTTAATGAGATATGTTTAACAGAATACTAATACCTAATTTCTTCAGCAATATCAAATTATGACAAAAAGAACACTGGCAACTCTAATTGCGATCAGCGCCGACCGAAATTAAAAAGAAAAGTCGCACAGCAAGAATCCCGCCTATTTTTAAAAATGGAACCCGATGATGATTCGCCTAATTAATAAACCAATCACGTACAGTCGAGACGCGGCGTCGAGGTGCGGCGGACGTGCGGGAGCGGGGGATGAACGTTCGGAAATTCGAATATTATTTTTCTTCTGTTCCCAGGCATCATAACGTCAACTTGTAATTGGCTTGACGGCAAGTAGTAATGAATTTGAGAATCAATTAATTGCAACTGGGAAATTATATCGGCAAAGATACACTAACGCGGCAAAAAGTACACCGAATCATTAAAATACCACAGATAATGCGCCCCATTGACTTCTGCGCTTACTATTTCATTGAAGGTTTTATTTACATTGACAGCATTATCTAGCACTTGTAAAAACCCCATACACAGTTATGAAAAACGTCTGCATCGTCTAATACAGCAAAACAGTTTTACTGTGTAACTCACACGTCGCAAACAAAGGGCTTTTAATATCAACGCCGAAAAATTATGTGAAAAAATGAAGAGCCTTGAAACTCACTAAAAAACATCATTTATCAAATAAATGCATTCTCAGTTATGTCCTTGCGCAGCGTGACAGAAAAAACTATCGGAATATTAAGTGTTTCGGTTGGTAGCACTGAGTATGATGGGGCGAAGCAACGCGAAAGACGACGAAGATTAGCGGGCGCGCACTTTTTGCTTGCATCAATCGATGCGCTCGCGCATTCGCACAATGAATAATTCAAAAATTGACATGAAATGGCGTATGGTTCTTTTTTTTAAATGAAAGGTGCCCGATTGAGGACTGTAACCGCCTGACGAATTCATTGGTCAACGGGTTTTTGCCACCTGTAATTGCTGCGTATTCGTTTATTTCAGCTCGAACCTATATAGTTTTGATTATTATCACGTGACATTGCAGATGCTTATATAAAACGGCCGCAAAGTGTCGTGATAAACTTAACTGTTAAACCGCAAATAAAATTTTGCCTTGAATTCGTCGAGATCGATAAATAAAATTACCTATTTAGTGATAATCGAATATATTTTATAATCGTTATAAAATCATCGTTGCATATTTTATATCACGGTGTATGCAATTAAAGGAAGATAATTAAATCGGTAATGCTGTTAACGAAGGAACGAAGACTTGCTTCGATTTCCAAGTATAAGTGATCATCTGAATTCTCGTTTCGATTGACCAAAAGTTCTTACGAGTGGTTTTTGACTAAATGGCTTCATCCTGTACTGTTCTCTGGCAACTGGTTTGACTTTCTAGGTAGTTTAATTAAAATACAATATATAATTATGCAATTATGGAACAATTTGAATTAACTGTAACATTTAACGCCATTAAAAACGGCCCGCGTGGTGCTAAATGATCATGGATGTAATCTTAACGCCGCATTGTTTAATTTATATTTTTAGGTTATTATGGTACATCCATTATAAATTAACCAACATTAATTATGAATTATAATATTTATTTAATGTTCTCCACGAAAGCATAATAAAAATATACTCAATGAAACACTAATTCAGTAATTCTTAAGAAAATATGTACAACGCCTAACTAAAAAAATACTTACTTATAAGATGTAAACGACATGTTCCCGTCCATGGGCTGATCTTCAACTGTGCCAGTCGTAAGCATGAGGGTGTTCATTCGATCACAAATTATCGATAATGACTTATCACAACACTAGTTCACACAATCGCGTCGATATGACGCAGAAGCACATGATGGTGTCACATCACTAGATAATGTTCTTTTTTGGAATCTGAAACAAATGAAACATTTATTTTTAATTTAGAGGCTCCTTTTTCCTACATGGGGCATATGGCAGATTCATTTCTGTGACTGTTTTTATTTACAGGGTTTTTATTTAGAGGAAAGCAGTTGTTCGTGCTCTTAACTATGTATAATGTTGCCAAATATTCCAATTAATCCAATACTTATGGACGACGCATTTTAGTATCAAGCTATAAGTAAGCACGGTAAGTGTGCTTTGCTCTTAAATATTTTGTGAGGGCAATAAAACACAACATTCTCTCAAAAGCTTAGTTAATTATTTTTTACTAAAAATAGAGAAGTAATTACATTCAAATACTCCAGATAAAGACAACATCAAGGATATGGTATTTAAGTCAATGTTTATATATTATAGCAAATAATTGTATTGTGTCTTAGTACCGAAAATCTCGGGAATTCCCCTTTTTTGTAGCGGCAGAAGAACCGGGATTTTTCGTTAGTTTCAGGATTGTTTAAATTCAAATATATGGCAAACGGCAATAGTGACGCTACTTTGTATTTAATTATTACCTATAACCCATAATATTCTTTATATTATGGGTTTATGACGAAGATCTATTTAAGAATTCAGAATAGATCTCGTATTTCGTAAACGTCAAAATGTAGCACAAATAATATTGTGATCAAATCACAATATTATTTGTCAGTGACATTAAGGCTAATCCTTATCGAGTTACGTGCAGGGCAGCCACTGCAACAATCTAACACATCTTATATTGGCCCGGCATCAGATTTGAAAGATAGCAGCTTGTTTGTTCGGCGGGAACCGGCTCCGCGGCCATATTGAATCTGATTGACAGCTGTCAATGTTGGCGGCACTGCGACGCGTCGCCGCGCCTGCGCACTAACGTTACAAGCAACTAATTCGACTGAAAAAATTGTCCGGATATAAATATTATTCACTTAACAGGGCAGACTATTAAAAATTACTAGATTGGAACTTTTCTTAAGTGATTTGGTTGAAGTAATGGAAGTTTTATGTTTTTTTACATTTCATTACACTTTTTATATATAAAGACTAAAAACCTAATTACTAAACCAAACCCCCCCAACTATGTACGTACTTACATTTATAACAGACATACTTAGTTAAAAAAATTGGGGCCTTTTTGCTGGAACTTATTTGGAATTTTAAATGTCTGGGAGTCATTGTGATTAGACATTTAGGAATAATTCTCTTAGAGTACAAAATATTATGTAATAAACTATAATAATCATTTTTAAAGATACCCAGTAATATGTAAAACAAGAAAATTAAAAGAAGATATCTAATTTCCACTTCGCACTAACTTAGAAGGAAAATCCGATGAATTATCATTTACGTCGCAATAATTACGATTTACGATATGACGTCACTAATAGTCGAGTCCGGGAGGATACAAATGTGTGTAACAAATTAATCTTTTTATTTAATAGTGGTTATCAGCATTCCTTTTCTCTTAGTTTGGTGTGCTACCATCAACATTCTTCCTAAACAACTTTTATTTTAAAATAACAAAAAAATAATTAAATACCAATTCGTTAAAGTTAAATAATCAATGACCAATTCTTTATGCGATTCTAGTTCTAGATAGATAGAATATTTAACATAGAAATTCGCACGGACAAGTGTATTTATTACAACACTGAACACATAGAATGTTTGATTGTAAACGTAAGTAAATTTTGGCCCTTTAATATCACCCATTTCTAAGAATTGCTTTATATTGCTCGACTGTATATTACTGTTGATTAACACGGCTGTTCCAGCATTCTGAATTCCCTTTAGTTTAAATTAAATACGATTTTAGACCGTGGCACGGTAGCTCAATTGGTTAGAGCAACAGCACGGAATGCTGTGTATGCCGGGTCTAGTCCTGCTCGTGTCGTAAAATTGTTCAATTTAAAAACAAATTTAAATGTATACAGTGCCCTCATGTGCAATAATATTGAAAATTGTAACAGTTTTCAAATCCCTTCAGTTTCATCAGATTTTTGAAATTTACAATTTAAATTCCAACAATTATATATTAAATATGTCTTCAATTCCAAGCATACACGCGTTACAGTAAGCTACTAGTATCAAATCGTTTCAACTTTAATCGAACGACCTCTACTTTGACAATAATTATGCGTTAATAATATAGAGGGCAATTAGTTACTTCGATACGGCTGGATTCGAGATCATATAATTTTTCATACTCCATATTTCTGCATAGAGACAGTACTGTACGTGCTAAGATTATTTTTCTCGGGACGTGGGGTAACACACTTTTTTGTCCCTTTCACTAATTTTTTTAATTACAGAAAATTATTAATCGAACTTTTGTGCACTGAACGAAACTATTTATTACTTTTGGAATTCGAACCTACGACCTCTCACGCTTAACACAATGATAGGCGATTTGCGTCACGGAAACAATGTCGAGAAATGTTAAAAACAGACAAAATCATTAAATGTCTTTTGAAATAACGCGAGTTCGGCGATTTCAAAAGAAAGGTGGTTTTAAAAAACTTTGGTTTGGTGATACAATAACTTTGCCAGTTTTTTGCCCATTATATCATAGTATGTAATTTGTTTCTAATTTTACATACCTTAATATTAAAGATGCATGTCTAACTAATCGCATAAAAATTAAAAATACATTGATTTTAAACCGTTTTGGGATCAGAAAAGTTAGAATATTAAAAAAATATTTGTTATTTTATACAAATAACATTATATAGTTGAAATAAAGATGTCTAAAAATTTGTAACACTTCGAGCTTTCCAGTTATTTTCCATTTGGATTATTGATTTAAACTTATAAGACTACTATTTAAAAGTCCAAAGAAACATTTAGTTAATCACAGACAATATTAATAATTGATAGAACGAGATCTGTCAACAAGCTTCTTACATAGTAACGGAGAGTACCTACACAGTTTATAGATAAAGATAATATCTAGAATCTCATCTTGCGATCAGAAGTGAATTACAATAAGTATCTGTCTATTCTTTCTATTTTGCCTTGAGAAACCTTGTAAAAGATTTTTAAAAGCAAACTCTTTAAACATTTTAAGTTTTTACTGGTACTAAATATAACTGAAATTCATAAATCATAAACAATAATTGAATATTAAAAAACTCTAATTTCTATTTTTAAATGTTGCCAATTCGTTTTTGTCACTACTTGACTCCATTAAGTCTATGACATTGTGTTGCCTTATATGCGCGCTTAAAAATCAATAATCATAGTTTATGGAGCTAATAAGTATAATGAATGTTTTAAAATTCTATTTGCATTCAATAAATCGATGTCATATGCGTCTGGTAAACTTATATGATGAGTAATATTTATAATATTAATATTTTTATTTTGAATCGTATCTAGGATTTAGTTTGGGGGCTAGTGCACTTCAATTGTAAACAATATTTTTTGGATTCTAGAGCAATTTCTACGTGTATTTGAAATTTTACATAATGCAGGTACGATCAGCTATTCTATCTTGCTTCTTTTATAGTTCCCATAGCTATAGCACAGGCCTCCGATAAAAAAAAAACTCTACTTCAGATAATAGAAGTTTCAACTTTTGAGGCCTGAACTTTTGATCTAATTAATGACACATAATGGCTGACAAGTCGTTCCTTACTGAAGAAATAATTCAGTCCTACAACATCTGAACCAGATTCGCTATGAGTAGATCTTTTAAGGCTTTAAAATATACAGACTTAACTAAAGCGATAACATTTCACGGCTTCTCCTAGATGGTTCCTAATCAGAACGGAATATCTTATATACGTACTGAAATTATTTAACACTGTATCCCGGAATATTCTCTGAAGGCACCTTACGTATATGGCGAATATGAGGTACATTTCCTGTGTTTAACTATAGTAAAGCCGTGAGTAAAACTTGGTATAATAACATTAGTAATGAATAATGCCGGAACGAAGCAGCGATATTTAAAAATAATATCAGCCGTACCTTAACAAAAACATTCTTGTTTGGTAACTCAAAAAGGTATTTAATAAAAACATCAACCGCGGGAGATGGAAGTGTGTTTTTAATTACATCAAAACAGATTATAAATCAAGATTTAAAATTAGGTTGGGAAATATACTTGCTCATTACGTGGCAAAAAGTAACTTTGAGAGATCACGAAAAACTCTTGATTGAAACAAGGATTTTTCAGTCGACTCGTGGAGCCATTGTAACTATAGACTAGATAGATAGTATTATTTATAAAAATTATAATTTTTTAGACATGGCAGGGCAGATGAACACGGGCTTCACTTAAGTAAATGTAATATACATCAGGCTTATAACAAAAATAAAATGCGCTGATGGCTGACGCGGTATCGCCACATACGGCTCTGAATCTGGCGACGATTGTGGAGGGAATATTTCAAAGTGTGGGACTATTAATTCAACATAAATCTGTTTGTCTCCATGAAAATCGAACCCTCGACCTGTAGATTAAATTATTCGCTATAGGTTAATGCTACCAATGGACGAACGTCATAATCTGTTCTACTAGTATGTTTAATTAAAAAATATGTTACCATTAGTTTTCGTTAGGTTACGTTATTGTCAGAGTCTTGTGTTGCAATACGTTTTGCAGGAAGTTATAATTTACGGAACCAAAATAGTTATGAAAATTTAAATAAAAAAGTATATACTACAGAATTCATTATTTTTCGTTCGTTTAGTTAAAAATTTGCTTCGTACGTCATGAAAAACTTAAAAAACTACACTTGTGAATTCATTGAAATCTTATTTATTTTTATTTAAATATCTCTGTACGTAGATACACTAACAAGAACAACTTCTTAATTCTTATTTGTAGTATGAAGTTCCAGTATGAAGTTTGGCATTCCAA